TGACCTTATGTGGATCAGGAAGCCATAGCGACTGAATCAGCCAAACGGTGGTGCTTCTGGCATGGCCTACTCTTAGCTGGGCATCCGGGGGACCGGAAACGTCGAACTGCTCAGCTTGGGAGACCCTGCTGAAGGATAAACCTCCGCTGTACTTCGCAGTTCAATACCCAGAGTCACCCCCGCGCCACGATGAGGCGGTAGACCATCACGGGGCTCGATTGAATTAATTCCACGATTACAATCGATTGGTTTATCCCAGGACTTAAGGCTCGCGCGTAGTTTGGGGGTCAGCCTGCACCTCATTTCGCAGCAAATCCGAACCGAGCTCCATGGAACGGCCAAATCTTCCGTCATTTTCGATTTTTGACGCCGAACTCTCCATCAGAAATCTTGCGAACCGACGGTTCACCAAAAATGTAAATGTCAAATTTTCATTCTCAAAACCTTTACCTCATGTTCATTCTCAAGAAAAGTTAGGAAAGATTGATTTAGAGCAACAACCTTAGGTCCCACGCCCATTTGCTTATGCCCTTTCATACATATAACTTGGTGGCATGGTTCAAGACAAAAAACATAACAACTACTCTCTTGTGAATTTTGCTTCAATCTTCCTAGGATGCGACCCTTTCACAGGAGAAAGTTTTTCAACGAATCTCTTCCCGACATGGCCTCTCCAAACTAGCAGTCGCGCATCAGGAAGGATAATGGCGCCCTATCATCTCGCCAGAGAATAGCCATGGAGGATTAGAGATGGAGAGGTCAGACGAGCAAAAAGATGCGCAGGATAGCATTACAACGCTGCACGGCGCGTCGCCTCCATTTACCTGAGATTGGTAGGTAGCCATAGCTTGCGTGCAGGCGTTAGTGGGCATCAGTGCCGCTGGAATTTTCTCTGGATGGACTTTTTACAGCGTTAGCGGCAACTTTGATACGCTTTTCCGATGTTTGACAACTTTTTAAATAGCAAGTGCCTTAAAAAAAGAGATAAGAATAGACTTTAGAAAAATAGTTATAGTGCTGCGACCGCAAGTACAATTGATATTCCCACACTTTATGTATTCGTTCACATAACGATGTTACCAGAAAAAAATGTGCTCAAATTCCACTACATTCAACTAGTAATTAATATTGCAAGTCTTACTCACACCCAAAAACACCAAATTTGAGCTAGAGGAAATCGCTCATGTCCGCCGTACTTCTCATCGGTATCTATGGAAAGCCTAAGCCACCAGCGCTTATGGCTGCAGCTGTATGTATATGTACATATACATGTATATGTGCATAAACACATATATACATGCACATGTACATACATAGTATATATATAGTAGCTAGTAATATATATATATATATTTGGTTAGTTCGCTTTGGCTAGTAGTACAGATATATATACGTGTATATACATGTATATAGATATATATACATATATATACATATATATGTGTATATATACATATATACACGTATATATATATATATATTAAGTTCCCTGCAAAAGGCATCCTGATGTGTGTAAGTTTCCTCCAAAAGCATCTTAGCCAAAGCCTCGCCTTCTGCAACATTTCGGCGGCCCCTTTCCGAAACCTGCGAAAAGCTAAAAGAGCTTCGCAGGATGAAAATTTGGAAAAAAAGAGATCTAGGGAACGAGAGATGACTGCCTGTCGGCGCAGGAGAGTTCCCTGACGCTTGTAAGACCAGTAATAATCAGAGTCAGAGTGCGCATATGTCTTCGCACACCGTGATGTTCCTTTAATGTGTGCTGAACAGAGGTAAAGGCGGCTATTTTATGGAGGATGCATGGAAGTTGTTCTAGATAATGGAACTTTATGATATTATGCGCTATGAGAGCTGTAGCAAACATAAATATGTTAGAGAGGAGCTTAAAGTAAAGTCTGCTCATTCTCTAAAGAAAGATGTACAGAGTGCTAAAATTTGTGAGACATAAGCTGATTAAAGGAAGCCCCGTCTAGCAAATGCCCTTCTTAACAACAAAATTTCCAAAGTGACCAATAGAAGTTGTGTGACAATACTAAACAAAGCTTCGTTTTGCGGGCCTGGGAAGTATGTATATTGCGTAATTTCAGTTCCCTAAAGCGTTGAAAACAGAAATAAATAAAAAGGTGGTTAATTCGTCTAATGGTCATCAAAATCAGCGCGTCTTAGCAACCACAAACTTTCAGCAGCCTAAGAAAAATGCAGAAATCAATAAACTAATGAAGAATAGATACTTAGACGGATAATTAGGCTATTACCCTTTCCTCTAGACCAAAGTATCTGTGCAAGGTTTGCGCCGCATCGGTTCAGAAACTAAGTTTCGTTATTTGCGATTTACCTCTAAAAACAACTATTCTCTGCATTTTCTTGTGTGACATTCAAAGATCCGCAACATTCCAGGAAATATCAAAAATACGTATTCTTTTAGTTTACGACAATCTTGAATATCCCTCCTACTTACGCCAATGTCTCGTCTTTACTTTACTCTAACATCAATCTAATGCCGAGAACACGTCTGTTGAATGCGTCAGTTTCCACTTCAAAACACCGTTTAGGCGTGCTGCCCTCCTGAACACTCATCAGGCAATTTTCATATACACACACATTGCAAAATTTAAGGCCCGCCCCTTTTCCTGCGAAATCTCCGCCTCTAGAGGCGTGTTTTTCAATAGAGTAGTCGTAGTCAGGCGGAGTCAGCCAATTTCCTCGCAGTGTCCTCAGAAGTGCGGTTTGTTTACCAATGACGGGAGGGAAGGTGGGGGGGTCTGCGACTTTATAGTGAAATATTTACATACACATATATATATATATATTTTTTTTTTACCAGGAGCCAGTTAAGAATTTGACTAGCTCAAATTAGAAAACGAGAACGAATGAGTTACTTGTTACATTCTATTGGAGCTTTTTGACTTGGTGATGCAACATGTTAACACAAATTATAGTCAAACAACATTGATCAGAAAACTGTTTTACTCAACTCTAATATTCACCTGGTTTATGCGTCGTATGCTCAACTACAGGAGATGCACAATGAAGGATCCCAGCAGCTACCTTGCTTGTCCTTCGCACATACTTACGTTTCTGTCGAGTATCCTTCAAAATCATCAAATTCGTAAATTAAAATGACTTATAGCAAAGGTTTAAAAGAAGCAAAGAAGCAATGTCAGCTAACCTCCTTCTTGTCTTTGCCCGTCTTCAAACGAATCTTAAGTCCATGTTCTTTCGGAGGTCGTCCAAGCCTCTTTTTTACCTCATGCTGAGATGCACAACATTAGTTTGCAGACATTTTGGACAGAAAATGAAGCACCTGTACATTATGTTCCATAATGAAGGCTAAAGGGTCAGTTTTATCACTTCGTATAGATTGGATTTCAGCCGCGGCAAGAGCCGCTTCAGCCTGAGAGGACAGCGAGGCTGGACCTGAAGGCAGATTATTCCAAAAATCACCAAGTATGTTACCAAAAAAATACCAGTGTCCTCCTCTTCCTTCCCCTTTTGTGCTGATATCACAACTTTCTTGCTACGATTAGCGCGATTCCATCGTCCCTTCCTCCCCAAATCCCTAGGAATCTCCTCATGACTTTTCACCCATCCATACCATTTTCGACACTTCTTATCCACACAGCGCCATCTGTGAAATAACAAAACAGATATTTTCTAAATTGCACCATTTAACCCCAGATTAATTCCGCCTACTAACGGCATACCTGTGCTTGTTGCTGCCACACATCTGAGGGCGCACCTGTCCGTTGCAAAATGTGCACTGTCGTTGACCATTGGCTCCCATTACAGGGGTCTTTTCCACTTTACTAAAAAAAACTTTCTCTAGTAGTACTCATTTGAAACGACTGAGTAACCGACTATTGCTTTGGCCGTCCTGTTCCTCTACTAGTTCGCTTCTGTGTCGTAACACGAGCATTACCAGCGATAGCGTTCGATTTTTCCGCTGGTGTTGGGAATAATGACAATTCACGAGGAGGAGTAAGTACCTTTGCAGTTTTCTGCTCCTCGGCTGAAGCTAAATCAGCGCTGCTGCTTTTCTGAACAACAGTCATTATAGTCAGGGAGGGTAGATAACAGGATATATATATATACATAT